TGATACCCGGGACGAGTCAAGTTTTTGGCGCCGTTGCCTGGAGCTTCGGTTCGTTATTTTGAAAAGATTGTTTGGTCTTAATTTAGCTTTTATTTTTAATTTTGCTTGTGCTTGACGTGTTGTGGTTCTTTTGAGTGTGTGTAGGGAGGTGTATGACTCGGAGCAATCCGACACCTTTAGTGCCACTAGACGAGAATCTCAACCGCACTCTCCAACTCTTGGCTCGTGAGAGGGAGTTAGCGGAAGCAAGATGGAGAATTGAAGAGAGGGGACATTAAGTTGGTCCCAGAGAAGTTGAGATGGCGGCGAATCAACAACAAGCTGCTAATCCGCCTCTGAACCAAAATAAGGAAGCGGGTGTTGAGGAAGAAACAAGGACTATGGGCTATTACATGGCACCACGGGTGACAAATATTCATTCTCCTATCCTACATCCACCCGTGGGTGCCAACAACTTTGAAATCAAGCCCTCCCTAGTCATGATGATTCAAAACAACGCCCTATTTCATGGGCTCACCAATGAATCACCGAGTGAGCATGTTCAGAGGTTCCTTGAGCTTGCGGGAAGTTTGAAGATAAATAGCGTCCCTGTAGAGGCATTGCAATTGAGGCTATTCCCCTACTCTCTTGCGGGAAAGCGCTTCGATGGCTCAACAATCGACTGGCTCGCTCAATTACCTCATGGGATGATTTGCTCAATAAGTTCATGACCCGATATTGTCCTCCTTCCAAGACGACCGAGTGGAGAAAGAAGATCACCCACTTTGAGCAAGAGGAAGATGAGACATTGAGGGATGCCTGGGAAAGATTCTCGGACTACTTCCTCCAATGCCCTCACCATGGTTTCGAGGAGAAATTCCGGATAGAGACTTTCTATGGCGGTCTCATTCAAGATGACAAGATTCTCAAGGATTCTCTTTGCCAAGGGAGGTTGATGAACATGAATCCACCTCAGGTGACCGAGTTGCTCAAAGATATGGCTATCAAGGGATACGATTGGGGTTTGTCGAGAAGTGGTAAGAGAAGCACCGAAAGAGGAGTGCAAAGTGTGGGAGCAAGTGCTCCACTTGAAGCTAAGCTTGACAAGTTGATTGAGGTGATCCTTGAGGATAAAAAGCAAGGGAAGAGAGCGGTGTTATCTTGTGATTGGTGTTCTAGCACTAATCATGAACTTGCGGATTGCCAAGCGATAAAGGAGACAAGTACCCCCGAGGAGCATGTGAATTTCATTGCCAATGCTAGAGGTAACAACCCTTATAGCAACACCTACAACCCCGGGTGGCACAATCATCCAAACTTTGCTTGGTCTTCCCCTACCAATCAAAGACCTCACGGTTTCCAAAGTACAACGAGCAAATATCAACCTCGACCAACTTTCATCCAACAAAGGCCTTAGTTCCAACAACAAGAACAACAAATCGACAAGTTTGCTAAACTTCAAGATCTAGTCACCACCTTTGTGTCTACAAGCTCTCAGAAGTTTGAGAAAATTGAGCAATTCATGGATGTGGCAACGTCCAAGTTTACCTCAGTTCAGGCGTAAATAGATTTGACACATTTTTGTGGAACTGAGATTTAAATTTAGGCAAAATACACTTGCATAGCCAAAACTTTCACCTTTGTGCCACTTATAGCCACATTTGGCGAAATACCACTAATAGCCACTTTTGAAAGATGTTGTGTGCCAGATATAGCCATTTCCGTTAGAATCTTTGACGGTGTTAATAACTCCGTCAACTTATTTGACGGATGGCTGACGAGGCGCCAAATCATCAACCACATCAGCGACAGGTAGGCAAAAATTGACACGTCAGCTTAATAATTAATTTATTAAAAAAAAAAACCCCATATACCATCTTTTCCATTCCCCACGACGAATCCTCTACTCCTTCCCCAAATTGATATCTCAAAACAATTCCAAGACCATAAATTTTATAATTGTCATCAGAGGCACAACTTCCCCTGGGTGTTCTTCCCCGTACTTTTCCTACTCAAATTCCACCCAAAAATTAACCGCCCACAAATCAGAAATCATTCTTTATGAAAAACCCAGGAAGCGAATTAAAGAGGGCGATCCATAAAAACCAGATCCAATACTTTGTAACGATGCTCGGTAATGGCGGCGTCAATGACCCCTTTGTAGAAGGCGGCGATGAAGATGGTGACGAGAGGGGTGAACCCAACGATGGGGATCTTGTTGTTGGGGGAAAGGACGGTGCGGGGGAGGAGGTAGCTCCGATTGAAGAAGGTCGGGAGGCGGAAGAGGCCGGAGGAGGCGTCGAAGATGAAGACGAGCTGGAGGAGGAGCGCCGGCAGGCAGGTGGCGGAGATGGAGAGGACGGCGCGGGATCTGAGCGGCGTGCTCTTCTTGACGGAGATTTTGACGAGGTAGAGCAAGGCGACGAGGAACCCGGGCTGGAAGAGGCCGAGATTGAGGGAGACGTGGAGGCGGCAACGGCAGATCTGCTGCGCGACCTTCGTCGCTTCGTCGCCTTCGAAGGTGGGTGGGTGAATTCGACTGAGGGGAAAACGAAGGAGTAGATAGATAGAAAGTAGAAAACGACGACGGTGAAAACATTAGGGATTTTGTTTATTATTATTATTATTATTATTATTATTATCCACGTGTAAAATGCAGGCTTGACACGTAAGCCCTTCCGTTTGTCCAGTCACACTTAACGTTAACAGCGTTAAAGAATCGGACGGAAGTGACTATTAGTGGTATTTCGCCAAATGTGGCTATAAGTGGCACAAAGGTGAAAGTTTTGGCTATGCAGAGGTATTTTGCCTTAAATTTATGTTGGTATTCTATCTCAAAATACAATATTATATGTTATTAGTAGAAACATAAGTTTCATGAGCCGCCTCTTTGGTTTATAATTTAGCCTCTTGAATTTGACGACACATAAATCCAATCCAGTTGGGGCTATGTTGATCGAAATGTCAATAAATTTCATGGGTTGACCAAATGTGTTAACTAGAATTGACTGTCCCTGGCCGCATCAAAGGTCCACCTGCAGCTAACTGCAGCATGCAGGCTGACAGAAGATTACAGGACCTGAACAAGAATTCTGCAACGAGACGTAATGAATTTGCTGGAATCAATTTGCTGCACATTTCGCCATCCCGCTTCTTGATTGGCAATTAGAGTAAAATCAAATGTTTTTCCCATTCCAAATTACTATATTTATGCAGTACATTATTTTTGTATCCCACTAGATGTAGTAGGACGGTTTTCAATAACGACAGAGAATACAATAACACAATTAATACTCTTAACAAATGTATCTTCAATGACAATTTCTTTATTATGTGGGACATATATATTAGGTTTTATAAGCACAGTGAGTTCAATAGAAAAGAAAACATATTCATTTTTTATTTAAATTTGATCTGGTGAATACGATGATCTTATTCTTCTTCTAGATAAATTATTATGTAATGAGGCACAGCTCATCAACTAGCTATAGGGGATAGATGTGGTAATACGGGGTTCCTTTAGTCATGTGACTAAATAATTTCTCAATATTAAATCTTTTTTTTAATCTTAAGATGGTATAAGGTTGCAAAATTAGTGTGGATGTATTGTCTTTTTATTTATTTACTGCAATTTTTTTAGGGACTAGATACTATGACAACACTCCTTGTGTTGTTATTGTAACAACACTAGTCTCCAATCAATAGGAAGTTAGGATTGTGATGACTTTTTATTAGATGGGTTGACCTAGTGTAAAATCAAAGCAGGGGTATAATTGTCATTATGAATATTATGTTTAAATAATAATAAAAAAAATATTTTTTTATTTTTCGGCCCAAAATTTTGGTCGCCGGAATTCAGCTATCGGTCGCCGGAATCTGGTCGCCGGTCACCGGAATATGCTTTTTTGTCACCGGAATATACTATTATGTCATCGGAATATGCCACCGTCGCCGGAATATGCTCACCGTGGTCGGAATATGCTTACCGGCGTCGGAATATGCTTACCGGCGTCGGAATCTAGTCATCGGGGCCGGAATATGCCTATCGGCGCCGGAATCCGGTCACTGACGGTCATCGGAGTTTGGTCAACGATTTTCGTTGACCGGTCAACGGTCTTCGTTGACCGGTCAACGCCCAACGACCACCGGATGTTATGGTCTGCATTGTGAGATTTATGGTTTGTTTTCTCATATTTTTGTATGCCTTTTGTGGTTTGCTTTATCGCGTTTGTGGTTTGCATTGAGAAGTTTCTGGTTTGCTTTATCGTGTTTGTGGTTTGCATTAAGAAGTTTCTGGTTTGCTTTCAAAAAAATTGTGGTTTGCTTTGTGAGGTTTCTGGTTTGTTTTAATAGATTTGTGGTATGTATTCGGACGTTACTGGTTTGTTTTTGTGGTTTGCTTTACGGTGTTTGTGGTTTGCTTTATGAGTTTTCAGGTGTGCTTTCACAAATGTTGTGGTTTGCTTTGTGAGGTTTGTGGTATGTTTTAGTGGATTTGTGGTATGCATTATGGTGTTTCTGGTTTGCTTTATTGTGTTTCTGGTTTGCATTAAGAAGTTTATGGTGTGCTTTCGAAAATTTTATGGTTTGATTTGTGGGGTTTCTGGTTTGTTTTAATATATTTTTGGTCTCCATTAGGAGGTCTGTGGTTTGCTTTATCGTGTTTGTGGTTTGCATTATGAGGTTTCCGGTGTACTTTAGGAATATTTGTGGTATGCTTTATGGGGTTTTTGGTTTGTTTTAGCAATGTGTTGTACAAAATTCTGTGGTTTGGTTTGTGAGGTTTCTGGTTTGTTTAAATAGATTTGTGTTCCGCGTTAGGAAGAATCTGGTTGTTTTATGTGGTTTGCTTTGTCGTGTTTGTGGTTTGCATTATGTAGTTTTTGGTGTGCTTTTGAAAATTTTATGGTTTGCTTTGTGGTGTTTCTGGTATGTTTTAGGAGACTTGTAGTTTACAATAGGAGGCTTCTGGTATATGAGAAACCATTTAAGTTTTTGGTATCCACGGGATCATATCCCAGCTCTGATACCAAAAATGTGAAACCCTTACTTTATATTACAAAACGAAACAGTAAAATACATCGAGTTTAAACATTCTCGGGCCCGAGCTCTACATATATTTTTTTTTTCTCAAACTTCAAACCATAATTTACATTTTCATCAGAGTCAAAACAGAAAACCGGGGAAGTCCGCTTTATTACAAAATCCACACAACATAAAACATTTAAGGAGTTCGGAGTCCTCCGCCCACCTCATGGCTTCCCTTCACGCTTGAGTCCCGATATCTACAGTACAGACCTTACTTCTGATCTTGATCTGAGGAAAAATGGTGACGAAGGATGAGTCGTCGCTCAGTGAATAAATTCTAAGCTCAGATCGACATCAATACAAAAACAGTATTGGGCAGAAACACCCTAGCACATAACAGGACTTAAGCTGATTATTCTACTTCCCATTCCACAGGATCAACCAAGTTCACATGTTCACATCTCATAGTCAAAAACACATAAAGCAGATGACAGATAGAGGCATTTTACTTATACAATTTCACTTTCAAACTTGCTAAATGATATACTCCTCGGGTAGTACAGTAGTGGAAGGCTGCAGGATAACCATGTACAGCCATAAGATAACTGGAGTACCGCGGGACAAAACCCCATCCGGTACAAACAGGAGTGCACAAGGCACGAAACAGGAGTGCTCAAGGCACGAAACAGGAGTGCTCGCACCAACAGGAATATCGCGGGACACAACCCGGACCGATACAAAAACAGGAGTCGCCACGGGATTACCCCAGCCTGGCTAACTGAACGGAACAGGAGTACCGTGGGTCGTCACCCAATCGGCACGGTGCAGAGCACGAGCGCTCAAACAGGAGTATCGTGGGATTTACCCACATCGATACAAACAGGACACACTACTGTACCGAGGTATCATAAAACCTTTTTAATTATTCTTACGTATTCACCTCTTTTCATTAATAGTTCACTAGACACTATAGGCTCAAAAGCATTCATAGTGCTTTTGCACCCTCAGTCACCACAGAACGGAATGTCAGTTGAGGAGCTGATTCCGAGTTATTCAAGCAAAACAGGCTTAGTAAGCCTAATGGCTTACTCCAAATCTAAACAGACAAGACGGGTTCGCAAGTTCGAATACTTACTCAGAATCCACACAATAAATCAACAAAATGTCTTTCCATATCCCATTCACAATTCATGCATTTCCAACTTCATACCAAACGCAGATAATGAATAAACACAAATAAGCCATATCACATAGCCAAATCATTTCCCATAAATTCCCATATTATACCGGAGCCTCTTCATGACCCCGATATGTATTCGGGCCGCTTCATGACCCGAATACTGTGATTATGTTGAAGTAGATCTAAGATTAGAATCTACTCACAGTTTTGTCTTCACTCGGCTATGCCCTTGCCTTTGGATGAGCCCCGGCTTGCTCCTTACCTTTATATACACATTTTCCAGGTTATCCAAGCACCAAGACACATATACAATCATCAAAATCATGGTTGTGTCCATGCATGTCGATAAGACCACTAGGGAAGTCATACGATTGTACACTTTACCATGCTTCCTCATTTTGATCATTTCTCCCTTGATACTAAACCAAATCCGTTGATTCTCGTTGCTACTTGAACTAGATTCATAGGGCTACAAAATATCCAAATTTCAGACCATTTGGATCAGCCTTTTGATCCCAGCAATCATTTTAACTTGACATTTCAAAACTGTCAACAACTTTCTTTTCACTTTAAAACCAACTCCCCTTCTTTTAACAATTGTTCCTGACCATTCCGACATCAAAACTACATTCTGAACGGTCAATTCGAAGAAACACCTATACTTAACCTCATAACAAATTTCTAGAACGATCCAACGACGGATTCGCACAGGATCTTACCTCTAATCTGCTGTCCTGCTACAGAAAAACAGTATCGCACCCCTTCTGTCCAGCGACTTTCCTCGATGAACCAGAGATCATATCGATGATCCCAACGGTCAAATCGTAGCCAAAGAAGTATGAAACCCAACCTACAAATCGCAGGACGATCCAACGGTTTGATTGTCCGGAATCGTCCTTCTCACAGGCTGTCTCGCTGCTGGACGGAAATTGGCAGCACCCCCTTTGCCTCCTTCTTCTTCTTCCTCTTCCTCTCCTTGATATGCTTTTCTTTCTAGCTTTCACTCTTTGTTTCTGAAAGGGGGTGGTGATTTTTGAGGTGGTGGAACCAGGTGAAAGGAAGAGAGCAAGAGAGGGACGTGGGAGAGAGTGAAGGGAAGGGATGAGAAGGAAATGAGAGATAAGGGGATGGGCAGATTTTTATCTCCCTTATCTAGAATTCTCCATCCCTCCAAATTGTCTATTTGGCCCTAAACTTTCCTTCACTTGCAATTAAGTCTAGCACTTCCACTATTCACTTTCTTTTTGGTTCAAAAGACTAATTTTTGTAACCCAATCACAACCACGTAATTATAACGTAATACTAGTACGAGGGCAGGGATGTTACATTTCCTCCCCTCTAAATAAAATTTCGTCCCGAAATTTTACCTTGAAACAAGTAGGGGTATTGTGCTCTCATGCTTTCTTCCGTCTCCCACGTGGCTTCTTCTCCAGTGTGACTTTTCCAAATTACTTTCACCATAGGAATACTTCGATTCCTAAGTTGTTTCACCTTTCGGTCCACGATCTCTTTTGGTTCCTCCACATAGCTTAGATCTTTCTGGACCTCAATCTCATCTGGTTCCAGTACATGTGACGGATTCGATCGGTATCTTCGAAGCAAACTCACATGGAAGACATTATGAACTTGAGACAATTCTGGTGGTAAGGCAAGTCGATAGGCTACCGGACCTATCTTTTCCAGAATCTCATAAGGTCCGATATACCTCGGACTTAACTTACCCTTCTTCTGGAATCTCAAAACACCTCTCCAAGGAGACACTTTCAAAAATACTTTCTCTCCACTCTGAAATTCCATCTCTCTTCGGTGGATATCAGCATAGCTCTTTTGCCGGTTTTGTGTGGCCTTCAATCGGCTTCTGATCACTTTAATCTTATCCACTGTCATCTGAACGATTTCAGGTCCCTCCAATTTCCGTAACCCTTCCTCATCCCAGCACACTGGGGATCTGCATTTCCTTCCATACAGAGCTTCGTATGGAGCCATACCAATACTACTATGGTACTGGTTGTTATAAGCAAATTCAATCAGTGGCAAATGTTCATCCCAAGAACCTTGGAAATCCAGTACACAAGCTCGCAACATTTCCTCAAGAGTGAGGATTGTTCGCTCGGATTGACCATCGGTCTGGGGATGAAAAGCGGTTGAAAAGTTCAGACGAGTACCTAGTGCTTCTTGCAAACTCTTCCAGAATCGAGAAGTGAACCTCGGATCTCTGTCAGAGACGATGGATACTGGTACTCCATGTAGTCTCACTATTTCCTCCACATACTTCTTTGTCAGTAACTCTAGCGAACAACCCCATCTAATGGGTATAAAGTGAGCCGACTTTGTCAATCGGTCCACAATAACCCAAACGGCGTCGTTCTTCTTCTGAGTCCTAGGTAGACCATAGACAAAGTCCATGGTAATCTTTTCCCATTTCCATTATGGAATGGACAGTGGTTGCAATTTTCCCGCTGGGGCTTGATGTTCAGCTTTCACTTTCTGACATACCAGACACGTCAAGACATGTTCAGCCACTTCTTTCTTCATCCTTGGCCACCAATAATGAGATCTCAACGAACGGTACATTTTTGTCGTTCCGGGATGCATTTCATAAGGAGAGGAATGAGCTTCTTCCAAAATCTCCCTTCGCAATTCATCCACATTTGGAACACAAAGTCTTTCGTTTAGTGTCAGAACGCCATCTTGAAGTGTGAATTTAGTTTCTTCCCCTTTACGACTCTTATCAATAATCTTCCTCAATTCAGGGTCTTGATCCTGAACTTTAATAATTCTTTCTCTCAGAATTGGTCGCACTTGTAAAGTGGCCAATAACCCTCCTGTGGAATTCATTTCCAATTCAACACTCATAGCTCTCAAAGCAATCAAATTTTCCGTTAAACCAATCTCCTCATTTTTAGTACGATGCTTGGTCTTTCTACTCAAAGCATCTGCCACAACATTTGCTTTGCCTGGATGGTATTCGATGGTACAGTCGTAATCTTTCAACAACTCTAACCACCTCCTTTGCCTAAGATTTAACTCTTTTTGCTCCATCAAGTACTTGAGACTCTTATGATCAGTAAAGATCTGAAAAGTCTCACCATACAAATAATGACGCCAAATCTTTAAGGCAAATACCACAGCCGCCAGTTCTAAATCATGAGTCGGATAAAATTTCTCATACGGTCGTAATTGCCTGGAAGCATAAGCAATTACTTTACCATGTTGCATGAGAACACATCCTAACCCTTGATGCGAAGCATCACTGTATACCACATAACCTCCAGTTCCTGAGGGAAGGGCAAGAACCGGTGCAGTGGTTAACTTCCGCTTCAACTCTTCGAAACTGGATAGACATTTATCATCCCATATAAAAGATTGCTCTTTCCTCAGTAACTTTGTCAATGGTGCAGCAATCAGAGAGAACCCCTCAATGAACCTTCTGTAGTATCCGGCCATGCCAAGGAAACTTCTTAGTTCAGGTATATTTTTCGGTGGCTCCCATTGTATCACTGCTTCTACTTTCCTTGGATCCACCTCTATACCTCTCTCAGACACCACATGGCCCAAAATACTACTTGATCCATACAAAATTCACATTTGCTGAACTTAGCATACAACTGCTTTTCCCTCAGAATCTGCAGTACGATTCTCAAATGCTCCCTGTGCTCTTCTTCACTTCCAGAATACACTAGAATATCATCAATAAAGACGATCACGAACTTATCTAGATATTCTTGAAACACTCGGTTCATCAGTGCCATGAACACAGCTGGAGCATTAGTCAACCCGAAAGGCATAACAAGAAATTCGTAATGCCCATACCTAGTACGAAAAGCTGTCTTCGGTATGGACTCATCCGCTACCCTTAATTGATGATAACCTGATCTTAGATCAATCTTGGAAAAGACCCTCGATCCTTGTAGTTGGTCAAATAAATCATCAATCCGAGGTAACGGATATTTATTCTTAACCGTTAACTTGTTGAGCTTCCGGTAGTCAATACACAGACGGAAAGTTCCATCCTTCTTCTTCACAAATAATACCGGAGCGCCCCAAGGGGAGACACTAGGTCTAATGAACCCCTTATCTAGCAACTCTTGAAGTTGCTCCTTCAGTTCTTTAAGTTCAAACGGAGACATCCGGTACGGAGATACAGAGATCGGAGCAGTGCCCGGTATCAGTTCAATAGTGAAGTCTATTTCCCTTTCCGGAGGTAATCCTGGCAGTTCCGAAGGGAACACATCCAGGAACTCCTTCACAACCGGAACATTTTCAGGTTTCAATTCCGGTTTGCCCTCAGTCACATAAGCCAGATACACTTCACAGCCTTCCTTCATCAAACTCACCACCTTGGTGGCCGAGACTAGGCAACTAGGCACCACCTGTCTAGTCCCTCGAAAAATCACATTCTGACCATCTGGTCTTTCGAAAATTACTTCCTTAGTATAACAGTTCATTACGGCTCTATGTTGGCTTAACCAATCCATTCCTAGAATTATATCAAATTCAGTCAGCATTAACCTCAATAAGTTAGCTGGCAGAATAGTTCCAGCTAGACTTATTGGGGCATCAGGATAGGCATATTCAATCACTACGGTATCTCCTACTGGGGTTTGAACTATTACATTCTTGTTCAACATTTCAGAGTGCACAGGCAACCCACGTGAGAATGCAGAAGATATGAATGAATGAGTGGCACCAGGATCAATCAACGCATAAGCGGTAAGATCGTAGATAAGAACCGTACCAGTAACGACCTCTGGAGAGATGTCAGCCTCCCTCCTAGTCATAGCAAAGGCTCGTGGCTGCACTTCACCCCGACTGCTCTGTCCACCCTGACTTTTGCCACGATTATTACCACCTCTTCCTGATCCTCTCACTGAACCTCCAGTCCTTCTGGACCCTTGAATTGTGGTCTGGGATCCAGCACGCCTGGACTCTGACATGTGGGGACAATCACGGAGGAAGTGGCTGGTGTCTCCACATCGGAAACACCCACCAGTCACCCTCCTACAAACACCCACATGTTGATTCCCACAATGTGGGCAAATAGGAGCTGGGCCTGCACTTCTCCGCTCCTGTCCGGGGTAACTGGCCACTGGACGTGAAATCTTCGGACTCTGATTGGGTCTACCCCCGAATGAGTTCCCAGCACTCGAGGAACCCACATTCTTCCACGTTCTCTTCCTTCCTTCAGCCATTTGTGCTCCCATTTCATTCACCAAATCCTCTGCTCTCATGGCAGCCTCTCTCAAGGTGGCAAGATCAGTCGTCTCTGATTTTGCTACTATCATCTTGATCTGGGGATTCAGGCCTTGCTCATAGCGGTTACATCTAGCTCGTTCAGTAGGTACCAACTCCATCGCGAAGGTCATCAAACGATGGAAAGTGGCATCATACTCTTTAACAGTCTGCCCCCTTTGCTGTTTCAGGTCCAGAAACTCTTTCTTCTTCCTATCCACATACAGATCAGGCACATATTGCTTACGGAATTTCTCAAGAAATTCCGTCCAGGTGTACCGAATTGTACGATCCTGAGCCCCGGGTACGGTCAACCACCAGTCATAAGCATCAGACCTGAGCAGGTAGTACATATACTCCACTCTTGCTTCATCAGGACACTCAAGGAGGTTAAAGATTCGTTCCATCTCCTTGATCCAATCCAGAGCATCTTTAGGGTCAATAGCCCCTTTAAAGAACTCAGCCCCCATATTCCTCAGCTTTTCAAAATCCTTGACATAAGGATTGGCTCTATTGCGGGACTCAGCATTATTTCCATTAAAATTAGAACCTCCAGCATTAGGATTCCCGTGAGGTTGCGGATCTGCTCCTTGACTGAACTCCACAAAAACAAAATCCGGAGTCAAAATCAGTAATTAGTCACTTCCCCGTGAAATCATTTAAGTTTTCCGAGTAAAATCTCGTTTAAAACGTTTGGTATCCACGGGATCATATCCCAGCTCTGATACCAAAAATGTGAAACCCTTACTTTATATTACAAAACGAAACAGTAAAATACATCGAGTTTAAACATTCTCGGGCCCGAGCTCTACATATATTTTTTTTTCTCAAACTTCAAACCATAATTTACATTTTCATCAGAGTCAAAACAGAAAACCGGGGAAGTCCGCTTTATTACAAAATCCACACAACATAAAACATTTAAGGAGTTCGGAGTCCTCCGCCCACCTCATGGCTTCCCTTCACGCTTGAGTCCCGATATCTACAGTACAGACCTTACTTCTGATCTTGATCTGAGGAAAAATGGTGACGAAGGATGAGTCGTCGCTCAGTGAATAAATTCTAAGCTCAGATCGACATCAATACAAAAACAGTATTGGGCAGAAACACCCTAGCACATAACAGGACTTAAGCTGATTATTCTACTTCCCATTCCACAGGATCAACCAAGTTCACATGTTCACATCTCATAGTCAAAAACACATAAAGCAGATGACAGATAGAGGCATTTTACTTATACAATTTCACTTTCAAACTTGCTAAATGATATACTCCTCGGGTAGTACAGTAGTGGAAGGCTGCAGGATAACCATGTACAGCCATAAGATAACTGGAGTACCGCGGGACAAAACCCCATCCGGTACAAACAGGAGTGCACAAGGCACGAAACAGGAGTGCTCAAGGCACGAAACAGGAGTGCTCGCACCAACAGGAATATCGCGGGACACAACCCGGACCGATACAAAAACAGGAGTCGCCACGGGATTACCCCAGCCTGGCTAACTGAACGGAACAGGAGTACCGTGGGTCGTCACCCAATCGGCACGGTGCAGAGCACGAGCGCTCAAACAGGAGTATCGTGGGATTTACCCACATCGATACAAACAGGACACACTACTGTACCGAGGTATCATAAAACCTTTTTAATTATTCTTACGTATTCACCTCTTTTCATTAATAGTTCACTAGACACTATAGGCTCAAAAGCATTCATAGTGCTTTTGCACCCTCAGTCACCACAGAACGGAATGTCAGTTGAGGAGCTGATTCCGAGTTATTCAAGCAAAACAGGCTTAGTAAGCCTAATGGCTTACTCCAAATCTAAACAGACAAGACGGGTTCGCAAGTTCGAATACTTACTCAGAATCCACACAATAAATCAACAAAATGTCTTTCCATATCCCATTCACAATTCATGCATTTCCAACTTCATACCAAACGCAGATAATGAATAAACACAAATAAGCCATATCACATAGCCAAATCATTTCCCATAAATTCCCATATTATACCGGAGCCTCTTCATGACCCCGATATGTATTCGGGCCGCTTCATGACCCGAATACTGTGATTATGTTGAAGTAGATCTAAGATTAGAATCTACTCACAGTTTTGTCTTCACTCGGCTATGCCCTTGCCTTTGGATGAGCCCCGGCTTGCTCCTTACCTTTATATACACATTTTCCAGGTTATCCAAGCACCAAGACACATATACAATCATCAAAATCATGGTTGTGTCCATGCATGTCGATAAGACCACTAGGGAAGTCATACGATTGTACACTTTACCATGCTTCCTCATTTTGATCATTTCTCCCTTGATACTAAACCAAATCCGTTGATTCTCGTTGCTACTTGAACTAGATTCATAGGGCTACAAAATATCCAAATTTCAGACCATTTGGATCAGCCTTTTGATCCCAGCAATCATTTTAACTTGACATTTCAAAACTGTCAACAACTTTCTTTTCACTTTAAAACCAACTCCCCTTCTTTTAACAATTGTTCCTGACCATTCCGACATCAAAACTACATTCTGAACGGTCAATTCGAAGAAACACCTATACTTAACCTCATAACAAATTTCTAGAACGATCCAACGACGGATTCGCACAGGATCTTACCTCTAATCTGCTGTCCTGCTACAGAAAAACAGTATCGCACCCCTTCTGTCCAGCGACTTTCCTCGATGAACCAGAGATCATATCGATGATCCCAACGGTCAAATCGTAGCCAAAGAAGTATGAAACCCAACCTACAAATCGCAGGACGATCCAACGGTTTGATTGTCCGGAATCGTCCTTCTCACAGGCTGTCTCGCTGCTGGACGGAAATTGGCAGCACCCCCTTTGCCTCCTTCTTCTTCTTCCTCTTCCTCTCCTTGATATGCTTTTCTTTCTAGCTTTCACTCTTTGTTTCTGAAAGGGGGTGGTGATTTTTGAGGTGGTGGAACCAGGTGAAAGGAAGAGAGCAAGAGAGGGACGTGGGAGAGAGTGAAGGGAAGGGATGAGAAGGAAATGAGAGATAAGGGGATGGGCAGATTTTTATCTCCCTTATCTAGAATTCTCCATCCCTCCAAATTGTCTATTTGGCCCTAAACTTTCCTTCACTTGCAATTAAGTCTAGCACTTCCACTATTCACTTTCTTTTTGGTTCAAAAGACTAATTTTTGTAACCCAATCACAACCACGTAATTATAACGTAATACTAGTACGAGGGCAGGGATGTTACAACTAAGGGTGAAGAGAAGCACCTTATCATGGTTTTCTCTCCTTCTTTATTGTATTCCTCTTCTTAGTCATGGAGTAGTTCTCCAATTCACTTGGGTGTTGTGAACCCTAGCCTATATATTTGATAGGTTTTGTATGGATTGAATGCTATGTATGTGGGTTTGTGTTTAATACAAAGTTTGAGATAATTTTCATGATTCTTGAGTGTTGTTCTTCAAATCTTAAATTTAGGTCAAATTGACCTAGGTGGAGGAAATCCACCTTTCGGCCTTAGAAGCCGGATTTCATGAACAATTGGGAACCCCATCTTGGGAAATTGAGGACAAGCCTCAAACATCGATTTCGGGCTATGAACCTACCATGATTGTTTGCTATTTCGTCGTCCGAACTAATGTCGGAGGGAGTAGTCTTAGCAACCCTTAGTCGATTAGTTAAGAGAGCTAGTTTCCTAGCTTAATTCGATATTCCTTGATTAATCGTCTAAGAGAGTGGGGTTTCTCCCCCTAGTTGCAACCTCCTCACGATTTATGAACACACCTTTCCTTATTAGCATTCCATTCAGTTAACCTTGATACAAAGCTAGGGGGAGCAATACCAAAGTGAAGCCTTCTCACATTGAAACCACCTTAATTTACTTTCTTTGCTTGTTTACAACTGTAGTTATTTAGCTTTTAACTCCAAACTGTTAGCTAGATAACAATTTAAGCAATTGAAGTAGGAGTACATGAACCGCCTCGGGTTGACAATTAAAACACTTGCCCTATACTACACCCTTCTAGAGTTTGCACTTGGGCTTTAGTCGGGATTGAATTGTGTATTTAGCAACAATTCACCTTCATTCCACCAAATTTGAGGATTGCTCTCTCGTTACCACACCTATGGAACTCAACCTGAAGTTGTCAAAGGATACGAGTACTCGCTAGCTAATGATCTCAGTATCGCTCCATGGTTACACTCGGCCTGATCTTTCGTATGCGGTTCACATAGTTAGCCAGTTTATGTCCTCTCCTCATGATACTCATCTTGCGGCAAGCCACCATATCCGTCGATACATCCAGCATAACCATGATCGCGGTCTTTACTTCTCTTCGATTGGTGAGCTATCTCTTCAAGCTTTCTCTGATTCTAATTATGCATGTTGTATTGACACACAACTTTCTACCACTGGCTGGTGTTTCCGCTCTGGTGGGTCATTTGTGTCCTAGAGGTGCAAGAAGCAGGATAAAGTGTCCAAATTATCCATGGAAGCCGAATATCGATTCATGTCTGATGTTAGCTTGGAGTTGATTGGCTTTAACGACTTCCTCTGGATTTCGAGGTTCATGTCACTGTTCACATGAAGCGTTATGTTGATAACACGAGTTTCATTCAGATTGCAGCTAATTCGATTCTCCATGATCGCACCAAGCACATCGAGATTCACATCCACTACGTTCATGACTTTGTGCGCAATGGTTCTATTCGCTTACACTATTTTCCCACTGAAGAACAAGTTGCAGACATCTTCATGAAGGCACATAATTCTAGTCGCCATTAGTACATCTCGCGCAAATTGATGCTTTAGCCCCTGCATCGATTTTGGGGAGGATATTGACGATATTGGGTTTCAACTTAGCTAGCTTCGTATAGGTGCTTAGTGATTAGTTCTAGCCCATGATTAGTTTTTATTTGGTGGCTGGTTAATGACGTAGGCCCGTGCACGTCTCATGCAAGCTTAGGGTTTCTTGCCCTACGCTTCGCCAGTGTGGTTGTGTATATATATTTGTAACGTGTGCTGATGTGAGGTATCAGTTTTTGGGGAAACCACGTAAATATAATGTCTTGCTCTTCATTATTTGTTTGTTTCACGGTTGATCAAATTTTGTTTTACAATTGTTTCCACCATATTCTGTTCCTGACTTCCTGTAATATATATGTAGATGTCCGTTGTCCACCCATTCAACAGACGACCACATTCCTAACCTCATTGGCGGAGCTAGGTTAAGGGTTGTGGGGTCCATGGACCCCACTTGGAAAATGAATATACATTAAAAATGGTGGATTTTTAAGGTGGGGTTAGTAAATTTAGAACCACGGACTCCCTCTTTCCGAGACAATGATTTTACTATCGAGTCAAACTTCGTATTTGGTTATGTTTGGACCCCACTAAATTATATCTCTGGCTACGCCAATGCCTAACCTACCACCTATTCTGTTTATTATGAAGAAGGAGTTGGGGAGCATCCATTGCCTATAAAAAGTAATCATAGAAGACAAATGAATACACACCAACAAGGTTCTCTTCTCCCTCACTTCTCCGTGTATCCTCTGTAATAGTGATACGAGAGTATGAAATAAAAGCCGTGTTACTCTCTTACTTCATGTTACATGGTATTGTTTATCTCTCTCCGGAATAATTATTTATAACAATTGACTATTTATAAACCGACAACAAATTGGTGTATGTCCCAAAAAGTTCAGCCTACCTACTCTAATATTCAATCCAGTCCAGCGCTGCCCATGCTTTCTCTGCTTTCGACTTAGTTTGAAACACCCACCGTTTTCTTCTTTTTTTTATTACAACACCCGCCGTTTTATAATACTTGGATTCGCTAAAGTGGCTGTAGCCTGTAGGATAATTTAATTAATTCGTATATCCCCCACAAAAGAAACTGAAATCACGTCTCATAAATTCGTCATCGATCGAAGCCCATACAATCCTTAACAGACGCCAATGCAAAATCAGCAGCTAGTTTGAATAAAGTTTTTTGTTTCCCTATAATTAAGGAGGGGAAAGAAGCCATAAGAAATCCGGTTGTACATTTGATGCCTTAAGTTAAAGCACTTTGTTTACGCATTTAAAGATTGTCACACATATAGTCAGTCGCCTTAGTAATATACCCAAAATTTAAAGATTGTCACAAAGTATCCAATATCGTTTTCTGAAACGAAAATCCTCTTGTAAATATTATTGAATTAATAAGCTCTCATAAAAATTATATATAATTCTCATAAAAAATTAATAGCATTATTAATTATTTGCTCGTCCACTCTAAAATCCTCTCCATTTTGTGTTATTTTGAAATTCATACGACTCGTTTGATTTAAGTTTCTTTAGTTCATCGAGTCAAAATGAATCATTTTGAATTTATGAGTCATATATTAACCAAAATTCCGTGTAATGGACTATGCAAGTCCTACTTTTTTTTTTGCCCGAGTAATATCAGAAAGATAGTTAGAACAAACACTACCCAAACGCCCTCCCCATCCCGCTAACAAACCAACCTACAAAATCAAAAGAAGCTAACTCTAGCCGAGACAGCAACATGGCTTTTACCATAAAGAGAAAAGTAAAGCTACAAATTGAAGTTGTACCATAATGTTAAAGATAAAACTTAAAGTTATACAATAAAAGCGAAAAACTAAAGCACCAATAATGTAAAGCAATAATTCCTTCGTTTCGCCACCTTTACCCCGCACACTATATTTATCTTAGGGCCAATACCTTATTTTGACCCGAACTATACCCAAACTTTATACTTTGTCCGGTGGTTTCTAAAATTGCTTCTCTGGCCCGAACTATGCATCATAATTTCTTGTTTGGCCCGACGCGGATTTTGACCGTCAATTATTGTTCAAATTAAGAAAACCAAATTTTTTATTTTGGGTTCGCTGACGTCAATGGAGTTGATCATGCAATTTGACTGTCAACATCCACATCGGGCAAAGTAAGGAAGTATGGTGCATAATTCGTGCCAGGGAAGCAATTTCAGAAACCACACACCAAATTAGAAAATTTGGATATTGTTCCGGCCAAAATAAGTTTTTAACCCTTGGCAAGTAATCATTTAAATATGGTGGACAGTGAACCTTGGTGGATTCCAATTTCCATCACATCAATCGTCGCGAATTGAACGCTGGATTTTCATGGTGAGCCGCCGCCATGCAATACACCAAACGTCTCCACAGTATCCTCTTCCTTCCCACTTGTTTGTATGTTGTCTATATAATACATTCCATAGCTGCGCTTTTCCTTCACAGATCCACTTCTCTACTTGAGAACAACAAACCAATTATACAGACAGCTACAGAACAGAAGCCACCTCATCATCTAACAGAATTCCTTGCCCTTTAATTTTTCCGTTGCCATGTCTCACAGCACCCCATTCTCATCCTCACCAGGTTAATTTAACTCTCTTACAAATCTTGTCCATCATCTTCTTAACCTGAACTAATTATGTTATTTGATCTCTCTGCTCTGCTTAATATTGTATGGTAATCATTCAGGAATCCGGTGCAGTTGCGGGGAGACTAGTAAGCGGCCGGTTTTAGCCACAATAAGCAAAACCTTAATCTGTCCGCCGGTGGGTGTTCTGATACCATCAAAACTGCTGCACGTGTTAATTAATTTATAATAATAATAATAATATAAAATTGTTGTGAACTGAAATATGGTACGTTATTAACGTACGTAACAGAGGCTTGCGGACTCGAAAGAAAGGATACGAAAGCTGTTCGACAAAGTTGAGCTGTCGACGTCGGCGTACGACACCGCATGGGTGGCAATGGTGCCGTCTCCGGCTCTGCCGGCGCCCTGCTTTCCCGACAGCCTCAAGTGGATATTGGAGAACCAACGCAAGGATGGGTCGTGGGGTTTGGCCGCTCAAACCAGGCCCCTTTCCCTCACCAAAGACGCTCTCTCCTCCACTTTGGCCTCCGTTCTTGCTCTCAAGCGATGGGGCGTCGGAGATCGACACGTTCAGAACGGTAACTCGACTCGACTCGGCTCGGCTCGATCTGTATATCAAACTGACGTTACGTAATAGATATCACAAAAACCTAAGCTTTTATCTTGTTCTGATTAGTTATTATGTGTTAAGCTGGTTCGGGATTGGAAGAAAATCAAACAAGGGTCGCGCATGCAATGCAATGTCGAATAATATTTATTTATTATATATTCTGGCGAGACGGCCCACTGCAGATTTGATGACTTCCCCTTAACAAATTCAAACTCGGGGTTTGTACTTTATAGAATAGAATAGACAAATGTTAACCGAAAACATTTTAAATTATTATAAAAATATATATATATGGAGGTGTTTGTTTGATATGATGTAGGTGGCTAAAATTGTTATAGTAAGTGGAGGAGCGGAATAGCACATTACTATTATCGATTTCCGTCGATTGGGCAATTTTGATTAATAAAAATATCAACTTATGATTAAGTTAATTAATGAATTAAAAGTTAAATATTGATGTTATTTTTTTTTATGAGTTTGGATATTGTATTTAAATATATTTTATTTTATTTAAATATGGATGTAAATTTTATGGACTTGTTTTAAAATATATTTTATATGTGTGGCTAAATTAATTTGGTGTCTATTGTTTCTCATTTTTTTCTTACATAGTTTGTCATAATCCGCATGAACTTACATAGACATGTTGTACTCCTTTCGGATTACTAAACGCAGAAACTAATTATAAACCTTTGGACTAACTAAATCATGAGTACCACTAAAACAGTTACACACTTACCATTAAAATAATTGCAGAACCCTTAAATAAAACTAACATAGTTAGCATGATTAGGTAAAATATATATAAACCATGAATTAGAATCATGCAACAGCCAACACATGAGGTCGGGAGAAATTGAGGAACAGTGTAATTAATGGCAAACTCCGCACGTGTTTATCTTCTTTCTTCTTCTAACAATCCAACTTGAATTTATTTGTGCAGCACTTGAATTTATGGAACGAAACTCGGCCGCTCTCTCCGATTCAACCCAACAAACCCCGATCGGGTTCGACATAACATTTCCCGCCATGATCCAAACCTCTGTGAAGGATTACAATTTGAATCTCCCGCTCAAATCCGCCCAAATCGACGCCATGCTCCGCGACCGAGCCACGGCCCTCAACACCTCAGCGAATCCACGCTCCCAAGGGCGCGACGCCTACTTGGCCTACATCTCCGAAGGAATCGGAAGTTCGCAGGACTGGGAAACCGCCATGAAATTCCAGAGGCAAAATGGGTCCCTCTTCAACTCTCCCTCCGCCACCGCAGCAGCCTTCATTCACCTTCACGACCCCGATTCCCTCCGCTACCTCCGCTCAGCCGCCGGGAAGAATGGCGGAGGTTGGGTTGTAGACAAAAGTTACGAATTGTATTTGTTTCATCCGAATCGGATTAAATTTGACTCTCTCTGATGAAAATACTGCAGTTCCAGTGATCTACCCGCACGGAATTCACGCCCAGCTCTGCCTCGTCGATGCGGTTGAGGGTTTGGGAATCGATTGCCATTTCGCGGAGGAGATCAAGCTGGCTCTGGCCCACATTTACAGGAGCTGGCAACAGGGAGAGGAAGACATATTCCTCGACCCCACGACTTGCGCCATGGCGTTTCGGATTTTGCGACTCCATGGATACCCTGTATCCGCAGATGCGTTCCATCGATTCGGAGAAGAGAGGTTCTGGAGCGATACTTTGGAAGGGTATTTGAAGGACGAGAGGGCTGTGCTGGAGCTCCACAAGGCCTCCAAATTGATTTTCCCTCGAGAATCGATTATGGAACACCAGCAAGCGTGGACGCGCCAGTTCCTGGCCAAGTTGGTTGAGAAAGATGAATCCGACAATAGGCCCAGAACCCATGAATCGCTTGTCAAAAAGAAGGTGCTGATTCATTGTTGGGTTGTTTGTTGAAATTCCACTTTTGTTGGTGGTGTGGGGGGTTACTAATCAAATGTACGGATTCATTATTTTTGGGCAGGTGCGTAACGTTCTTAGCTATCCATTCCGCTCTGATTTGGAACCCGTGGCTCGCAAGAGAAACATCGAGCAGTTTAGGACGGAGAGCTCAAGGCTCCTTAAATCGTCCTTCAGGTTTGGCATTCAATTTCGTCGTGCGACATACATACATACATACAAACATACATACACCTGCTCCATGGTCATCATCGATCTCTTTGTTTCATATCAGCTGTACCAACTTTGCGGGCAACGATTTAGCAAAACTGGCGGTAGAAGACTTCAACTCTCTCCAGTCGTCTCACCGCCGCGAACTACAGCATCTGATGTTGTATGTTAATCCGTTAACTCTTTTCCCGTCAGAGCTTTTAAATTCAAGCTCAATATCGATCTGTTCTGTACATAGCAGTCGTCCTCACACTTTGCTGTTGCTGCAGGTGGCTCGAAGAGAAAGGATTGGATGAGATGAGGCTGGCCAAGGTGAGGATGGGGTATTGTTACTTCAGCGCTGTAGCAACTTTCTCCGATGCAGACCACTCCGACGCCCGCGTTCTCTTCTCCAAACACGCTCTGCTAGTCTCTCTTGTTGACGACTTGTTCGACATGTTTGGGACTCACGAGGAAATTCTGAACCTTGTCCATCTCTTTGAGAGGTCAGTTAAAATACTCATTAGCACCAGTTATGGCGCCATCTAGTTCGATAGAGTTGAAGTTGCTCATTGTAACTATTACTGCAGGTGGGATGTGAATGGACCAACATCGTCACAGTTCAGTTCAGAGCTTGTGGAGACGTTGTATTGGGCAATTCATAGCACCATTTGTGAGAATGTGGAGAAAGCATTCCCCACCCAGGGTCGTAGTGTCATGAATCATATCGTGGAGCTCGTAAGCTTCGTCATATCGTAGTTGATTTGTAAGTTACGATGTTAAAAGCTTCACATATTCCTTACATTCTGTACAATGTTTTATGTGGCTAGTGGGTGGAAATGCTGAAAGGTATGCTGAAGGAAGCAGAGTGGTCCAAAACAAACACAATCCCGACGCTCGAGGAATACTCGACGAATGCAACCATTACACTTGGCGTAGGAGCATTTCTGGTCCCTGCTCTTTACCTGGCCGGCCAGAAGCTGTCAGAGGAAGTCGTCAAGGGTCTCAAATTTCAGAAGCTGTTCAGAGAAACAAGCAATTGCGGCCGTCTGCTGAATGATTCCAGGGGCTATGAGGTTCGTTTTTACATCTAAATTCACAGCTTATAAGCTCTAGTGTGTTTGAGTCGGTTCAATTTCGAACTTTAAGGTCATCATCGCTGCATGGTTACTTTTGGTGTACAGAGAGAAGCTGCAGAAGGGAAACCAAATGCAGTGCTGCTACGAATGAAACAGGGGAAAGGAGGGAATGGTGCGGAAGAGGAAGCCATGGAAGAGGTCGAGAGGTCCATAGAGAACTTGACACGACAAGTTTTGGAGATGGCTCTGGACGAGAATGACTACGGCCAAGTCCCAAGTGAAATCAGAGACATGTTCTGGAAATCCATCCAAGTGTTCTACCTGTTCTACATGAAGGAGGACTTGTACCATGCCAGCACCAAGCTGGTTAATGTTGTAGAATCTGTAATTAACGAACCCATCTCTCTTCACGAAAACTTAGGATGAGCATACCCATCAAGACTTCATTGAATTTGTTTCCTTCAAATGTTCATCACCTTTTTTTTTTATGTCTTTAACGTGTGCTTTCGATCGCTGAAATAAAGTGGTTTTCATCGGCCTTAACTCGCTATAATTATAGTGACTTAAGATTCGCAACTCCTATAGCATGTTTCTAGGTTGTACTTGTAATATGTAAAATATAGTAATTCTATCGATCCTTCAAGACAGCTATACAAGCAGCTTGCACGCTTTTGAGGTCTGAGGATTCATGATTCTATTAGAAATATATGCTCATGTTTCCATGTTAAGATGACATCCGCTCTATGCCCATTTAGGATTCCAAGGAACATTATGCAACAACAACATTCACAAGGGCAGAACTCAAACAAGAGTTTTTATTAGCTAGATTTCTGCAAGTTGGACACAAAACTTGAAGCAGCAAAAGCAGCAGAGCCACCCAGAACAGAGACCAGAGCGACAACAGCCTGAATCACAACCTGCCAAAGGTTATCCTCGGGGACAAGGTAAACACACGCCGGCCCCAAAACCAGCAATCCCAAGCTGGCAGTGAGAAGGGCTCCTGGCAGTGCAGTGTCGGTGGCGGCCGAGAGGACCCCAAGTTCTTCAGCTTTGGAGAGGAGGCCTAGCTTCTCGATAGTGGAGAGGGACAGGCCGGCTTTTTCTGCGGCGGAGAGCAGGCCGGCCTTTTCGGCTTTCGTCAACAGCTTCAGTTGCTCCACCCTTGTCAGCAGCTTCACCGAGGTTGCCGATGAGGTAGTTTTCTGTCAAGGGAAAATGGAAAGTTGAAGATCATTTTGTGGATACAGATTGAAATAAAGATAAGGGTGAGAGAGAGAGAGACCTTCTTGGAGACAGCTGTTGTAGAAGAAGAGGGCAATGGCTTCTGGGCTGCAGCCATGGCCATGGGTTTGAAGAATGAATTGGTTTTGCGGAAGGGAGGAATTACTATTCCTAAGCTGCTGCTGCGTCCACAGGTTGCTGCTGTTACTTCCATCTTGTTCTTGTGCTCCTTACTCTGCTGCTGCTGCTGCTGCTACTCCACACCTTGTTTCGTTTTCTTTTCCTTATGCGGCTTGGGTGTGGGTTTTGATTGATTGGAATGTGTGATGGAGAGGGGAACAGCCAATAACGGACCCCAAATGTGTACGGGGCTCCACGTGGCATCAGCCTCCCCGTGGGCTACACTCTCTTTCCAATTTCCTCGATGCTTTTTTTGCGAAATAAAAATATGCATAATAAAAAGTTGATCAGTTGATGTTTTCTTCAGGAAAAAAAATACCTTTCATTTCATGCCATTAAATTAATTTTTTAGAATTGGGTAAGGATATCACTTCCTCATTAATAACCGATGAATTAACTCATTCTCGATCCTCATCTCCTCACAAGAAAGACCAAGCGATGGACCCATGACCGAACAATAGTCTCACCCATTAATCTCCTTTCCTTTTCCACTGGTACCGCTCGAAGGCCCGCCGGACGCCAGTTCCTCGATGCCTTTGTCACACTTCCCACCACTTATCCCCTCGAGAGATATACAAAAAGATATAATCTAAGTGACCCCCTCTCTTACTCCCCAAACCTCAGCCACCCCCTTATCTTACAAGCGAGTAATAAAGCTAGATGTTTCGAATGCTTAGATCTAAGTGTTAGGCCACCTGTAGCAATGCCTCAAACAAGTCAGAGCCAAATTTTGCCAACTCATGCCACTACCCCGACTTCATCTCTATCATCGAAAAGCACATTTGGACCATGGCTGGTGGTTCAAAGAAAATCTCGTCGGGCGATGTAGGTTGGACCCCCGCCACCAGTCACCGACCAACACGCTGACCAACAAAAGACCATCTCGACATCGAAAAATTGACCCATCACTCCTCTTCCAAGGCAAGGGAAATCTTGAAGAACATTATGGGTGAACAAGACTCCATCCTGAAATCAATCCCTGCCATTCCCACAATCACTGTGCCAAGACAGCCTGCTTCCAACAAGGCTTTAATTCCTTCTAATTTTAACGGGAAAGAGGCAATTAATGGGCTGTTCAACAAGCTTTTTCACTACAAGGAAAAAAGAGAAATATGATGAAGGAAGAAACAAAATAAATGCAGTCATAAAGGGGTCAGCATTGGGTGTCTCTATAAATGGTGATGGTATGACTTTGGAAAAAGGAACGGTTGAAGGCAACAATATTTTATTAGCAGGAAATTTAATTACAAATAAGACACTCACAACAATTGATTCATTTGAGGGGGTTACTTTTGTGGATAAAAAACAAGTGAAAGTTTCATCCACTAGTTTTACATCACAAGGTCTTCTTGGACCAGCTCCGAGTCATTTTAATGCGAATTGGAGTGGGTATGTCTTCTTTCCTCAGCCCGACGAGGCATCCTCATGAAATTTAGTTGTTATCCCGATTCCCAACTTGATATGACCAAAGTACGCAACATTTCTTCTTTTTATGGATTTTTTGAAGCTTTTCTCGAACTTGAACAACTCGAAAGTAAAAGATAAGATGGAACGCGATCTAACAGCACCCAACTCATGTGAATGGCCAATTGGTATATGAAACCAATCAAACAATCACCCACTCGTGGATAAGGCCAATCACAATAAGGTATATGTTCGCCACAACTAGACAAGTTCTCTAGTTGATAAGAGACACTTGAACCTCCTGAAAATCCTTCGACTGAAAGTTGCACACAAGAACTCGTTCACAATGAACTTGAACTCAACTTTGATTGATAACTTGAATGAATTATGATTACAATGGCACTCGGTCCTCCTTTAAATAGGCTACTAAACACAAATCCAAAACAAACAATGAAAGCAAATAAAACACTTAAACAAATCTGAAAATCACACAAAAACCACAAATGAATGTCTTCCTTCAAGGTAAGGAAATGGTATTCCTTTTGGGCTAAGGAACCCTCAAAAGTCCATCCAATCAGCCACCCTCTTCTCCCTTTACATTCTTTCTTCTCCATTCGATCTCCCAAGCGCATCTTCTCCCTTTGTTCTTCTTTCAGGTATTCTAGCCATAGAATGAGCTTCCCTTTGAATTGGTCCACACACATATAATCAAAATAATGATCCAAATAGTTAGGAAATTCCTCTCTTAATTTCTTAGCCTTTAAACGTGTAATTGGACCTTCTTGTGATGTTGTGGGCTTGTCTTTGATGACCTCATCAGTCTCTCACTCATGGAAAGGATTTGACCTCATCTGGATTACCATCCACATAAAGTGCAAGATCAGAAACATTGAAGGTTGCACTTATCGTGTACTCTTTTGGCAAGTCGATTTTGTTGGCAGTGGCCCTAACCTTCGAAATTACTTGGAAGGGACCTTCACTTCTAGGTAGCAGATTGGATCTCCTTTGGTATGGAAACCTCTCTTTCCTCTTGTGTACCCACACCCAATCTCCAATTTCAAATGATCGAGGCTTTCTATTCTTGTTGACGTGCTTCATAATCCGCTATGTCCTTCTCTCACTATTCAACCTCACCTTCTCATGGAGATTTTTCACAAACTTGCCCTTTTTCACTCCATCCATGTTGACTTGCTCATTTAAAGGTCAAGGTGTCAAATCTAATGGCATAAGTGGATAACCATACACGAACTCAAAATCTGAGTACTTTGTGGTTAATGCACAACCATGTTGTAAGCAAACTCCACGTGTGGTAGGCAGTCTTCCCAAACCTTGATGTTTCTTGATCATGGCTCGCATAGTTTTGGAAAGAGTACGTTTCACCACTTCAGTTTTTCATGTCTCCTTTGACTTAGCTTGTTTGTACTCCACGCATCTAACACACAAGTTCTCCATGTCGCCTTTCATGTGAGGCCAATAAAAGTGTTCTTGCAAACAACTCAACATCTTGAAGACACCAAAGTGAGCTATTAATCCGCCTCTATGAACCTCCTTCAACAAAATCTCTCGAAGTGATGTTCATGGAATGCAAAGTTGATTACCACGAAAGAGATAACCATCACTTCTATAGAACTTTCCTTCTACGTGCTTCTCACAAGCCTTGTAGATCTCTCCAAAGTCGGAACCCCCTTCATAAGCACTCTTGATTTTCTCGAATCCAAGGTACTTGGAACCCAGAGTTGTGATCAAAGCATATCTTCTTGATAAGGCATCCATAACCACATTCTCCTTTTCTTGTTTGTACTTGATCACATAAGGGAATGATTCAATAAACTCCACCCAACGATCATGCCTCCTGTTCAATTTGTGTTTCGCCTTCAAATACTTGAGAGACTCATTATTAGTATGAATCAAGAACTCTTTTGGTCACACATAATGTTGCCATGTTTCCAATGCTCGAACCAATGCACAGAGTTCCTTATCGTAGGTAGGATAGTTAAGTGTAGATTCGCTCAACTTCTCACTAAAGGTGGATATGATTATTCTCTTGCATCAATACAGATCCAATATCCAATCCTAATGCATCATACTCCACTTCAAACGTCTTGTTAAAATCTGGTAGCATCAGAACAAGAGCACGAGTGAGTTTTTACTTGAGTAGCTCTAATGCCTTCTCTTGCTCTACACCCCAACAATATGACACATTCTTCTTGACAATTGTTGTCAATTGGGTGACTATGGTGCTAAAATTTGGAACAAATAGTCGATAGAAGCCATCCAAATCCAACCAATGAAAACTCCTTACTTCATTCACTTTGGTACGGTAGGCCATGCTTGAATCACCTTCACCTTCTCTTCATAAACCTCAACACCATGTGCACTTACCACATAACCTAGAAATACCACGCTCGAGGTACAGAACGTGCACTTCTTAAGGTTGGCATAGAGTTGCTCCTTACTTAAAGTCTTCAATACATCTTACAAATGTCGTAGATATTCCTCAATGTTCTTCGAATAGATCAAAAGATCATCGAAGTAGACAACCAAGAACTTCCCAATGAAAGCTCTCAACACGTGGTTCATTAATCTCATGAATGTGCTCGGCACATTGGTCTGATCAAACGGCGTCGCCATCCACTTGTATAATCCATGCTTCATCTTAAAAGTAGTCTACCATTCATCTTCTTCCTTCATACGAATTTGGTGATAGCCTGACCTCAAATTAATCTTCAAAAACAACTAGAACCATGCAATTAGTCAAGCATATCATCTAAACGAGGTGTAGGATGATGATACTTAACTGTAATTTGGTTGAATGCTCGACAATCAACACACATTCTCCATGCATGGTTCTTCTTTGGCACGAGAATGACAGGAACTGCGCAGGGACTCATGCTCTCTCGAATATGTCCTTTCCCCATAAGATCATCAATCTACCTCTGTAACTCCTTTTTATCCTCTAGATTCATTCTATAAGCCGCCTGGTTTGGTATGGTGGCTCTCGGAACAAAGTCAATTTGATGCTCTATCCCGCGGATTGGAGGTAGGCCTTTTGCAGCTTTCTCGGAAAAGACATCATCACATTCTGTAGAAGAGACCGGGATCACTCCTCTTGACAGAAAATTCATGAGGCACAAAAGCTGGGTAGGCCATTCTTATATCGGCTATCACCGTGTCATAAAATTTCAATTTTGTAGACACCACATGTTCAATTCTTTATATATATATATATTTTGGGTACCTCAGACATGAATGGACACAGGCGTGGGAAGCCAACAGTATAAGAGAGATCTTTTCTACTACATGTCCCTGAACTGAAGCTTTAATCGGGTGGTGGAAATTCAACACCGATGTCGCTGCTCAAATTAATCAAAGGATCACACAGGTGGAGCACTGCGTAATTGCTATGGTGATTGGCTAGGAGGTTTCTGTAGAAAACTTGGAACAAGAATAACTCTAATGGCAGAATTATGAGGAATCTTATAAGGATTGCAGTTTGCATGGACCAAGGAAAAAGGGAACTCAATTTCTTGTTTTGGAATCAGACTCGCAGTTGGCCCTCGATTTGATTAAGAAACATACTGATTTTGTCCATCCTTACGCAACAATCTTTGGCACCATTTGTTGACTCTTGGCCCAAGGCTGGGTGCTTCATCTGGTTCATACATATCAGGAAGAGAATAGAGTTACGGATTGGCGCTCGAAGTACAGTCTCGTCTATCCTTTAGCTATGCATGATTTAAATTATCCTCTATCAAATTTAGAGATGATACTTTGGGAAGACTT